TACTGCTGCTGCTGCTGCTACTACTACTACTACTACCACTACTACTACCGCTACTACTACTACTACTACTACTACTACTACTACTACCACTACCACTGCTACTGCTACTGCTACTACTACTTCTGCTACTACTACTACTACTACTACTACTACTGCTACTACTACTTGTAGTACTACTTGTCGTACTTGTATTTGTGCCCAGTGCCCATTCTAAATCGCCTGCCTTGCCAGGGCTCCGCCTTCCGGATGAGTACTGCCGGCTCCAGCGTCGCAATCTCAGCACACCCCACATTTGTCTCATCGTGGCATTGTCGATCGCAAGCATATCTACCCCGGAGATCGCAGAAGTTCTCCAGAATCTGAACCGTCTTCTTCCTGGAGTCTCTGCATGAGCCGATCGTTACATGTCCCTTCAATGGGACTTGAGAAGCTCCACGCGCTGATACATACAGCTTTTCATGCTACTGTTGATGAATGCCGAATGCTCGTGTTAAAAAGGTAGCACAATTGGAACATGGGGGGCAACCCAAGTCCGAACATGGAATCATCCTCGTTGTAGGGTGTCGCCCAAGGTGTTGCTGTCGCTCGGCTCGTCAGTCCTGGAGACGCACGACACTCCGCGTCGGAAGGCTTCCAAGGGCAGATCGTGGGGCAACAAATGGTTTAGCTTCTTCATGTTGCTGCTGTGCATGAGCCCCCGCCTAAACTGACGAAACTGTTGAAAGTCGCAAGTCGCTTGGAGGCACGGCCACCGAGGGGTCTGTATAAGGCCTTAAGGCAGATACTTTGCCATTCTGTGTTGCTTGGCGTAGTTAACGCAGAGGGCTTTTCTTCTTCGGTGTTGTTGCTTTGCGGGACCTAAGAAGCTGCATGGCCTCGAAACTCTGGAACTACACCGTGTCACGAGTGTGTGAGCGAACAAAGAGTGCCGCAGCACTGGAAGAATGGACAGTTGGATAGAACTGTCATAGACGAGATTAGAGGAGCAGGAGAACGGGTAAGCAGATGTGACACATCAAAGAACACTGTAAGCCTGTGCAGCAAGATAAATGGAAACCCGCACGAATGCATGAATTGATAGTAAAACAGAACAGGACCAACCATGGAAATAAAACTAAGATCGCTGTACTGTAACCATGACCACCGCGAGGACCGTGCATGTCAGCTGACGTGCGAGATGGCGAACACGTGTAGTAGCAGCGATGCAAACAGAGCATGCTAGTCCCGTGATTGGTGCTGGGGGGATAGTCACGTCAAAAATGCACTGCTGCAGCTGCGCATCTTTAGACCCTACCTTCAGAGACGACAAGGACTGCTCCATCCACGAAAGCGTTTCCTGGTACTCTGCGCTGCCGGATTGCTTTGAGAGTCCTGTCATCTTTCATGCGTTTGACACGTACAAAATCCATACTGGCTGTTACAAGGCCCAACTGCTGATCTAACGATCTGTCAAGCCTCTTGCCATGTTCACCACTCACCTTACCGCTGTGTATCGGCCGAAGGGAAGGGAATCTGCAGAGTTTGAGCCATGAGAGGAAAAGGTTGCAGCCCGTGTGCTTAGTGATCCAGGCTCCGGCTACGCCAATAGTTTCAGATTGGTAGCGACGCTCTGGCTAAGCTTGGGCTGCTGGAGTTTTGCGACGATGTTCTTTGATGATGACCTGCTGAGCGGTGCACACGCCCAGGAAACTCATGCTGATATCGGCGCAGGCGCACCTGCGGCTGACTTCGGAGACGGCATCTCTCCCGGAGATGCTGGCTCAGGCGCCGCTCTCTCCTCGGTGGAGACCTTGACTCACTCCTCGAGACGGAAGCGAGGCTCCAGGGGCGGTGTGACCTCTCGACCTAACGGCAAGTTCCAGCCTTCCCATTCCGCAACGGAGGCAATGGCATGGCTCCGAGAGCGACCGCATGAGCGCCGGCACGGCCATCTACCGCGAGGACATGGACTGGACGGCCCCACCGGAACCGGAGACCGAGTGGAACCAATGGCAGGAGCCGAACTGGGTGCTGGATCCTCACGACCGGGATCAACTGGAGGGCTCCGAGGGCGAGGAGCTGTACGACGAGGACAACAACGACTTCGACAAGGAGTTCTAGCAGCTCTACGTGAAGTGCAACTTCCTGGAGAAGCCTCGGCTCCAATGGGCTCAGCAGACGAACCTTTGGAACCCGAGGACTTCGGAGCTTTCATCGTCAAGAAAGGTCTGGCCAAGCGGGTCCGAGGCAACGAGCGAGCTCTGGCCGATGCGTGGAGTATGGAGAAAAGAGCCTACGAGCATCGAGCCCACCGAGCACGAGAGGCACGGAAGTACCAGTCGGACATTGTGGAGATCTACGGTGGCCATGCCGAGGTTACCTACGAGGCCCTTGCACGAGGTCTGCGTGTGCTTCAACCGGTAGATCAAATCCACGGCATATCTCTGCGTACGCCAGCTGACTTCGTGACTCTTCAGTCTCTCTTACTGCAGCGCAAGCCGTTTGTCACTGTGTTTGAGTTCCCGTGCACTCTGTGGTCCAACGCTCAGTACCTTAACTATGACCAGGCTTCCCTCGACCGGATGCGTGCCAGCCAAACTTCGTGGATCAAGGGAATGGTGGATACTATATTTGCCCTGCATGCCAACTTCGGGGGACACTTCATCCTGGAGAACCCGGCGTACACGGCGTTTTGGCAGCACCCGGAGATCCTCAGGCTGTACCAGCTGCCCCGAGCGGAACTTCGAGTGGGACACATGTGCTGCTATGACCTCCGAGGCAAGGACGGCGACCTGCTCAAGAAACCCACGGGTTGGCTTTCTGACCTGCCTATTCTCCTGAACTACGTCAGCCGTCAATGCCCTGGACCTGACCGCCACGTGCATGGCAAGGTCCTCGGAGGAAACTCAGCCAAGTCGCAGGTGTATACCCCGAAGTTGGCAAAAGCCATGATTCATGGACTATGCGACTGTTTGAAGGACCAGGGTGATGAACGCTTCTGCTGCAACCTTGAAGCCTCTGCGTGGCAAGCGGTGGATTCGGATGATGAGTCCTCACTACTACCTGAACCACAACCTCCTGGCGGGGTCCTCCGAGCCACGGCTTACTTCCTTGACGTGAACAGACATGAAGAGTCATGGCTTCCTTTGCTGAAGGAGGCCGAGGCGCAGCTGAAGGACAAAGTCAGACCGGATCGGGTGATCCCCCTGAACACCCCATTCGGTGAGCAGCTTAAGGCCCTGGTTCCCTGGAAGATTCTCCGAGTACAAATCTGTCGTACCCCGATGCAGCGACGACTTCCACTTGAGGTGCTTCAAGCTGGAGCTCAACATAGAGGAGCCGCTCTGTGGCTCAGTGATGGTTCGGTGGTCATTGAGGCCGAGGCGGTCAGTCGAATCTTGGCCCAGTCGTCAGGCCGGTTTACCTCGCCGGTCCGGATGGCTGTGTTCTTTTTCGGCACAACACCAGCTTCGAGTCTGAATGAAACCGAGAATGAACTTCCCGAGGCGCAGGTCAAGGACACGGAGGCCGGCGAGATTGAGGAGACGGAGGTCATGAGACCGCACCAGCCGGGATTCCGAGACATCTCCTTCCCCGGCTTGAAGAACGCTCCTAAATGGCTGCTGCAGGTGATGCGCAGGTTACACACCAACCTGGGACACCCGTCAACAGCAACGATGGTGAGGCACCTGACAGCCTCTGGAGCTTCAGAAGCAGCTTTACAAGCAGCTCGCCACCTGCGTTGCGAGATCTGCTTGCGAGTACAACCTCCTCGAGAACCCAGACCGGCCAAGCCGTTTACGGCCAGGCGTTTCAACGACAGGCTGAACCTTGACGTGCTGTGGCTCAAGGACATTTCGGGTCGTGCTCACGGCTACTTGTCACAAGTCGATGAAGCGACCAGCTACCACGTCCTCAGCTACATGCGAGACAGGACCGAGGAGGAGACTATGCGACTCCTGATCAACGGCTGGTTCGCTTTCTTCGGACCCCCAGACGAACTTCTCCTAGACTCGGATGGAAGCTTCAGGGGCTTCCGCTTCGAAACTTTGCAAGCCCAATGTGCTATCAAGGTTCGCCACGCCCCGGCAGATGCCCACTATCAGATGGGCAAGGTGGAACGTCATGGTCACATCGTGCAGCGTTTGGTTTCGCAGTTCTCTCCTATGGGCCCGGAGGAAATGAATGTCATTGCCATGATGTCCGTGGCAGCGAAGAACAATTTGATGCGGCGGGCCGGATCTTCCCCGGCTCAATGGGTCTACGGCCGTAACCACCGTATTCCAGGATCGCTTCTGAGTACAGGTGGCAGCATTGAGAGTTGCTCCATCCACGACGACAGCAGCCGGCTCCGCCTCGTCGAGCAGATCCGAACTCGAGCAATGATGCTTTTTCATCAGTTTGAATCGGATGCTGCGCTTCGCCATGCCTTGCTTCGTAAACCACGCCCGGCTCGTGGCCCCTTCGCCGAAGGACAGCGTGTGGCATATTACAGGACCAGAAACTCGGCGGATGGGGAAGGAACCCTTGAGGGGTATAGGCAAGGCGTCATTGTGGCGATCGACGGCTCTACCTTGTGGATACGCAACACCCGCGGCCGGTGGTCGAGGAAGGGTGGTGGGCACCAAGTCAAGCCGACTTGGACCTCCTTAAAAAGTCTGACCAGGATTTGGCCGACAAGTACTCTAACCTCGCCTTTCGTGCCAATGCCCCAGCTGCTGCGAATGATGATCAGGCGGTCGTGGCCGAGCTTGATTTTCAGCTCCGAGCGCCCTCACCGGCTCCCCGTGCTCTTCTGGATCAAGCAGGTCAACCTGTTTTGGATGCCGATGGACAACCTGTGCCAGCTACCCCAGCTCCGCCGATGCTGCCTCCCTCGATGCTGGTTCCTCCGACACCGAGAGCTACGGCGAGTCTACCGAGTACTCCCAGGGGACGGGCGCGGAGCAGAAGCAAAACGCCTGCGAGGCAGGCGCTTCAACCGGTTCCAGAACAACAAGCATTACCGCTTCCAGAACAACAGGCATTACCACCTCCAGAACAACAGGTATTACCTCCAGAACAGCAGGCATTATCTCCAGAACAGCAGGCAGGATCCATCACGTCAGGTGTCGTCAGAGTCTGCTGGTCACAGACGGTCGTCCCAAGGCACTTCTGTGTTACAACGTGACCTGGAGTCTCTCATGAACCAGATGCCTAGCGACGCTACGTCTAGGGGTACGAAGCGTCCTGCTGATGTACTACCTGAACCACGAGCTCAAGGTCTTCCCCGGCGCGAAGCAGATGCCGAGGCTTTGACCACAACTATGGATTCTCTACTTTTGTTTTGCCAAGACTGCGGTGAACAACATCGCATTCAGGTGAATGGCGTCGACTCCTGTTCAGGATGTCTTGGTACTCGGACGGTGAGTTCGCCTATGCATGTTTCCTCGTGGTTCGATGAAATCATGGAGCGCGAGGCCTTGGAGCAGCACTTCGAAAATCGAGTGATCAACTCCAACTATGCCAGTGCTTTTGCTCGAGCCACCTCCTTTGTGAGCGAATTCAACAATAGCAACGACATGGCGACTGCAGTGTCTTCCCCTACGGCTATGCACCGACTTGATGTACTACTACGGCATGGGCGTGACGAGGCACGACGCGTCGGCTG